TTTAATCGTTCGTCTAATTCTTTTGTCTGGACCCTTTGTATAATAGCAGTTTCTTCAGCATTTGCACCCGGCTCTGGCGTGATCACTATTTCCATTGCTAGAGACTGAAGACGAGCGGCATACGCCTGCACATCTTCCTCCCTTCTCTGAATGCAGGTATAAAACTTATTTAATCGTATAGGAAAAGGTTCACGTTCAAATCGCTCAATAATTAAGCGTTTAAACTCCTCGAATTCCTCTACTGCTTTAATCCTATGATCCTTCCTAACAAATTCATGTGCGATTCCTGTTAGTCTTAATTTGGCTATCGCTAATATCTGTGCTTTTGTCCAAGCAGCTAGCCTTGCTATATCCACCAATGATTCGAAAAACTCGCTTATGCGTAGATCCTCTGGCTTGCCGGAAAAACTAGGCAGCAAGGGGACTAAACCACTTAGTCCTCCGAGTGTAGCTCTTAGATTTTCGCCTTCCATTCTAACGCTACTATGCTATGTCTAAAATTTGGAAACCTGTTTATGGCGGACAAAACTTGTCTTAGCCGAACCTGCCTAAAACGGACTAACCTGTCAAAAGCCTGGAAGTTGGCTTCACCCCACTCCTGACATAAACAGGGCTCCATGGAATACATTACAACATATTTTATACTTTGTAAATGGGGTTGTCCATAAATTACATATTTTATTTTGCACCCATAATTCCACATTCCTGTAATGTTCTATAATGCTTCTAAAATTAGATAACACATCTTTGATCAACCCCCTTAATTGCACAAAGGAATAATACATAGCACCATTGAACATTGCATCATTAGTTTAATAATTACATGTTTAACATACAAAGCAATGATTAGACAGTATGAATAAATTCAGAAACAAAAATGAATTACAGTAGAGCATTGATTATCCTAATATTGATAAACTGAAACATCAATTAACCAAAAGCTTTCCAGTCGGCAAATTTAAATTTCCACTAGTGGTGTGGTGCTGCAATCTTTGGCTATGTCTTGGGCTACTCCAATATTATTTTTGTTGGTGTGCATGTTTTAGCTCGCAGCACTGGTGTGACCATGAGAGGGTGCTTAAGGACATGCCAGGATTTGAATGAATTTCAGCATGGAATAGGTATATTTTTTCGTACATAATTGGTTATCCGAAAAATTGATTTTCCGAACAACCACAGTCCCCAATTGATTTGGATAATTGATGCTCTACTGCAGGGGTGGCCAACCTTTTTAGCAGGCGGGCCAAATTTCAGAAATAATATTTCCTGCCGGGCCATGCACCTAATTTTTTTTTTTTTTTTTTTTAATTAAAATAAAAAAACAAGCGTGCTACAGCTTCAACCGCATCGTTGCTTTCCAGTAGGTGAGATCGTGGTCAAACACTTGCCTTGTTTAATGTAAAAAAAAACACAAAAAATAGGTATATTTATTTTTTTGAAGAAAATAAAACATAACCGAGAATCATTTATTTAATAACCGAGAAACATATTTATTAGATAATTTAAAAATATTTAAAAGTGAGACATCTGACTTTGTTTTACAGAACTAACAAATAAGTGCATCAAAATTGATCTAGACTGATGTAGTCGCTACACGCAAACAGTTTTCCAAATGAACATCAGTAATTCATGTTCTCACTTATGATTTGATGTACTTCATACGACTAAAAAGTTGTTCACACACATAAGTGTTTCCAAATAGCGAAACCATTGACAGAGCATGTTTGTAAAACGCAAGATATTTATCTTTGTCCAAATACGTTTCATAGAACTCTTCCAAACCTTCTTAACTCTTCTAATGTTCATTTGGTGATATGTACAATAAAGTTAACATTTATGTTCATATGACCTAGCTCCGCGGGCCGCAACACGACTCCCGACGGGCCGCATGCGGCCCGCGGGCCTCATGTTGGCCACCCCTGCTCTACTGTATTCTGTTACTCAAAGAGTGAGACCTTAATACTATGTAGCATTTTTGTAAACACTTCTACTTTCTTGTAATACATTGTAGTGATTACTTGCATACCTACCTATATCTGTGTTACATAATTTATGGACAGCCTCTGTGTGTATAAATTTGTTTAATAAACTTTTTAACTACAGTCAACCCTCCTATAAGACGGTAGATACGTTCCGTCCTTTATGAATTGATTTCTTACGAGTCCTTGCCAATCACAGCCTGACACGTATGCACTTTACGGACTATGGCTGTTTGAAAAGTTTTCTTTCATAAAATTAATCGATTCTAGATTAATCCGACTCAACATTTCCAAAATACGTATATTTTTTTTTGGAAATAATCCGTATAAACTACGCTATAAACAAAAAATTGTAGGATTACTTACCAAGTGTGCATCATTTGACATCGCTGTTGCTCAAGCTTGTTTTCATTGTGGAACAGCTCAGCAAACCGCGGCCGCGATTTCTGATGTTATTTTTCTGCGAAAACTTCATTGAACTTTGGAGACATCATTAATATAAATAATTTTAATCGCCGTTGAATAAGGAATGTTTCTTTCACACGAAATGTATAAAATTACAGTACTGTATTAGACTTATGGTACCTAATTTACATACTGTACAGATGATAGTTTGCTTAAACTCTCCATAGTGTGGTGCCAGACGGCGGAAAAAATATATATAATTATAATAAAGTTACAATAAATTAATATATAATTATATATACTTAATATATAATTATATATACAGTACCTAATTTATATATAATATATAATTATATGTACAGTACCTAATTTATATATAATACTGTACAGACGATAGTAATCTCTCCGTAGTGTGGCGCTTGATGGCGGAAAGTAGTTCGGCTGCCCAATGACGTTTTACGTAATTATAGGAGTTTTTTACGGATACCGTCACAATTTTTTCACCATCTTATAGGAATTGTAATTATAGGAACCCGTCTTATAGGGGGTCTACTGTATATGTTAAAATTTTTACTTGTAGAAAAAAATATACATTGAAATGACATTTAATGGTTGAGAAAAAATTTAATCATTATTATATTATGTATGTAACATAATATGTATTTTTTATATGGCGGTATTATAATATTTTATACTGTTTTTGGTCAGACTTCTCAGTTAATCTGGATATTCACACAAGTGATTTTTTTAAAATGAGATTTAAATGCTTTTGGCTCCAATGTTGTGGAGTCTGATGTTTTTGGTCAGAGTTGGTAAAATTCTTTTGACTCTGGCGACTTTGACCTCAAAGAAATTTGAAGTAAGAAAAATACTTCTTAATTGATCTAAAGAAATTTAATGAATAAAGAAATTTCTTAAAGACGGACACTTCAATAAATTTAGACATCAAAATGATATTAACCCATGAAGACCATTTCATAGCAGAATGTTATGTGTATCTCACGCAACATGCTCTATACTTTCAGAAAACAGCTTTTATTAATTTAAGGCCCACCAGTGGCCAAGTGAATTAATCCCCTGAAAACTTGTAGTTAGTTGTGGGATTGTACCTGGAAAGTAAATGTTTATGGTATTGCTTTGAAGTGCCAAGCTTATCTTTACCAAAGAGAACTATCAAGAAAAAAATTAGTTTCATTTCAGGTGCTATAATTTTTACTTGGTGTAATATTTTCTTTACATCTGAGATGTTTTACTTTGGATATCAATTGTTTTTACTAATTTGACTAATTTTTGACTGTCCTTCTACTGGTTTTGAGTTATATATGACTATTTATTACAGCTTCGATAACATAATTTGATCTTAAAACAGTCAATAGAAAAACAATGAAAAAAGTAAAACCAAGATCAGAATATAACTTCAACAAACTAAAAGTGGAAGAGAAAACTTCAAAATATAATTAAGGATTGTTTCAGCTTATTATTTACTGGTTTAAGTTTAGTCAACCATCAGCAGGAAATTAACTATTTCCATTGTAGTTGGAGCAGGAAAAACTATTTTATGGATTAATTTATTATATCATTCATCAAATTGTTATTTTTCGTATTTTATTGCATTTAATTTTTTTTTATTGCAAATAATTAAATTTAAATCCATTTTTCATAATTAGCTAATAAAAGTGGCTATTAAGATGTAGTGTACTTGTTATGTACTTGAAATTGAAAGTCTTTCTAAGGTAAATTTATTATATTCATTTTTTGATTTTCACCAACAATTTTAGTATGAGTTTTTTACAGAAATTTTAGATAAAAATATTTGGATATCCAGTGGCATCTTTATTATAAAAGGAATTGCAGTATGACATTTTAAAAGGGCATAAGGTCAGAGTCATGTGTTGCAAATTTGCCAGAGTCGGGACTTTTCGTTTATTGACCCCATCACACTTTGGTACTACATATGATAAAAATAAAGGTGAAAACTATAAAAAAAATAATAAATTAATTAATGTTCTTGTTTTTTTATTTTCACAAAGAACAGGATCAGGCTCAATTGTCACAATAATTGTGTCCTTGATTTATTTTCCTTTCTTTTCAGCAGATAGCATATGAATGTGATGTAGTGGATATGAGTATTGCAATTTGCACAGAAGTTACATGGTTTATGCTGTCTTGGTGCAATGAAATTACTTACATAGATACCTAACTTTAAAGTAAAAATTACTTTGAGAAATCTGATAAACCATATTCATTAGTTTGAATGCTGCTTATGGTTTAGTGTTCAATAGACACTAACAACTGAGTTCAAGGCTACCATCACAATTCTAGTATTATACAGTAGTAAAAATTTTAGTAAGAAATTTGATAGATGATGATGATAATTTTTCTGAATGTGTAATAGTTCTAAACAGTTGAAATTTTGAATTTATAAGGGAAAAACTAATCATATTGTATAAAACAATAATTTTATTTTTATTCATAAATTAAAATTATAGAAAGAAAAAAACGGCTGACAAAACTGTCTTTGTACAGCCTGTATATTATTTAAAAACAATAGTTTTTAAAGTTCTAATGTTGTTATTTTTTTTGAAATAATAAATTTCCTTTATTGCAAACATTTAGGTTGCAAAGCAATGGTATGACTGTGATAGATCAACATTTGCATTTGTAAAAAAACTTAAAGAAACTGATGTTCATCTTACTTTTACTCATCAACATGATTTTGATGAAAATGGAATTATGTATTGGATTGGAACAAATGGAAGGTTTGAATTTAATTATTAAGTAGGAAAAAAAATTATTTATTTTTTAATAATATGATTTCTGTTGAAGGACTGTTTCTGAATGGGTTAACCCTGCACAAGTTGGACTAGTAGTTGTCATGTCATCAGAAGGAAAAAATCTACCTTACGGTAGATTAGAAGATATATTAAACAGAGATTCTTTGGCACTGAATTGTCACACAAATGACGATAAGTAAGTTATCTTTAACTGAGGCAGTTAAAATTTGTATTTTATAAATATACATTATGGATCGGGCCTCATGTTGGCCACCCCTGCTCTACTGTATTCTGTTACTCAAAGAGTGAGACCTTAATACTATGTAGCATTTTTGTAAACACTTCTACTTTCTTGTAATACATTGTAGTGATTACTTGCATACCTACCTATATCTGTGTTACATAATTTATGGACAGCCTCTGTGTGTATAAATTTGTTTAATAAACTTTTTAACTACAGTCAACCCTCCTATAAGACGGTAGATACGTTCCGTCCTTTATGAATTGATTTCTTACGAGTCCTTGCCAATCACAGCCTGACACGTATGCACTTTACGGACTATGGCTGTTTGAAAAGTTTTCTTTCATAAAATTAATCGATTCTAGATTAATCCGACTCAACATTTCCAAAATACGTATATTTTTTTTTGGAAATAATCCGTATAAACTACGCTATAAACAAAAAATTGTAGGATTACTTACCAAGTGTGCATCATTTGACATCGCTGTTGCTCAAGCTTGTTTTCATTGTGGAACAGCTCAGCAAACCGCGGCCGCGATTTCTGATGTTATTTTTCTGCGAAAACTTCATTGAACTTTGGAGACATCATTAATATAAATAATTTTAATCGCCGTTGAATAAGGAATGTTTCTTTCACACGAAATGTATAAAATTACAGTACTGTATTAGACTTATGGTACCTAATTTACATACTGTACAGATGATAGTTTGCTTAAACTCTCCATAGTGTGGTGCCAGACGGCGGAAAAAATATATATAATTATAATAAAGTTACAATAAATTAATATATAATTATATATACTTAATATATAATTATATATACAGTACCTAATTTATATATAATTATATGTACAGACGAAACTAAACTCAATTTAACCGCCTAAACTGTGCGTAGCATGGCGCTAGACGGCGGGAAAGTAGTTCGGCTGCCCGATGACGTTTTACGTAATTATAAGAGGATTTTTTACCGTTGTGTACGGATACCGCCACAATTTTTTCGCCGTCTTATAGGAACTGTAATTATAGGAACTCGTCTTATAGGGGTTCCACTGTATTAAAAATACGTTTAAAAAAACATTAATTGATTGCTCCTGGAAGTCGGCTTCTTATAAAAACACAGCTTCCTTATCATGAAATGTCACGGCACGCTACAGGGGTAC